AAAGACTACAATGAGATACCGCCTAACCCCAATCAGAATGACTAAGATTAATAAAAGAAAAACCGATAAGTGCTGGTGGAGGTGTGGTGAAACGGGAACTCTCTTACATTGGTGGTGGGAATGTAAATTGGTCTAGACACTGTGGAAAACAACTTGGAGATTCCTCAAAGACCTGAAAATAGAAATGCCATATGATCCAGCAATCCTACTTCTTGGTATCTACGCAAAGGACAGAATTTTTAATTGGAAAAGTGCTTACACATGCATGTTTCTTGCAGCATTATTCACAACTGCTAAAACATCTAACCAATCCAAATTCCCATGAACGGATGAATGGATTGAAAAACTGTAGCACATATACTCTATGAAATACTCTGGCTTTTGACAGAAAGTGGATGAATATGGAAGATTTACTGCTGAGTGAAGCAAGCCAGGCAAAGAATGAGAGACATCGTATGTCTCCACTTAATATATACTGAGTGTCTTCACTTTATGGCTGAAACTGAATGACTAAAGGTTAAAGAAACTAAGTAAATGGTTGTGAATACCAGATACAGTGTGGGAAGAGGGAAGGTGAGGGAGTAGAGGCTGAGGAAGGACATTAAGGGAAAAAAATAGAGAGACAAGGCATTTATGGGACAAAGAAATGGATTATTATCTATTAAAGGTAACTTTCTAGTATAGTGAACTGGACTGATGAGAAATGTACACATGTTGGAATATTCACTTTGTAAGATAAGGAACATGATTGAATTTGTAAAATAAATAGAAATAAAAAGAAATTTAAAAAATTTAAAAATTTCTATGTATTTCAATCAAACCCATTCTAAATCTAAGGATCATGGCAGCTGTCCCAAGTTTCACAGTTTAACAGAGTTCTCCCTTTTGATGAAGAACAGCAATTTTCTAGAGATAACAAGTACTGTGTCTTCACCATAATTCAACACCTTGCAGTTCCAAGGGACCTGGTCAGGTATCTCAGACTTTGGAGAACATTTTAACTAGGGATTGGTCAAAAGTGCTAGACCTCTGGAGGAACAATAATAATTACAGTATTCATCTCATTTCTAACTTGATCTCTTGGGAAAAGAGTGATTAGGAAATTACTATTTTCTGCTCAGACCAATGTCCCACAGGGATTCAAGTGCCCAGAATTGGAGTTACAGGAGAGAAAGGTGCCAAATGAGTCAATATTGGGAGTTGTAAATACCTCCTCTGCTGCTGTCCTTCTGTAGGACAGACAATTTTGACGTTTTATGTATTCCTAAACCTAGTTATAAAAATGATGCTTCATTCTTACCTGCTGTCTTATGTGAGAATAGAACTTTTGTCTCTATGATCATCTATCTAGAGAGGAATTCAGACTCCAACATGGACAGCACTTTCTCAGCAACCCCAGCCAGGTGAGTCTGAAAGCCCAGCAGATGCTGTAGAAAAGACTCCCAGAGAATGAAAGCTGACAATGTTCACCTGAGGTCACCCAAGAGTCCTAATAAGCATAGCCCAGAACCACAAGATCACTGTGTTTTCTTGCTTAACTAATTAATGTTGGTTAATTGATTTAATATGTTAAAAAGAGATGATGTTAGACTCAGAATGTAGGTGGGAATTAAATTATGGGAGTGGAAATCCAACTGGAGAAGACCAAAGAAGGAAGAGGAAGGGTAAAGGGGTTTCAATAAAATTTTAATAAAATAAAAATGGAGATTTGCAATGAGTGGGTAGGAAATTGAGTATTTCCTTTGGAGGGATATGCACTGAAGTATGGGGTATTTTATTTACTTTTTAAGATGGGATGTATTTGGGTATGTTTTATATTCATCACATTGTTCAGACCAATAGATGGCTTACAAATATTACCTTGCAACAGCAGCTAATGAGACATACATTTTGCAGTATCTTCTCTCGAGTTGGGTAGTAACAAAAGAAATCAGTTTTATTTGATAGGACACTGGGGAAAACTAAAAAGCTTACATATAAATTATTCTATTACTGCTGAGACTGAAATTATTTTGGAGTTAGCCTTTTTCTTCTGTGAGAATTGTCTTTGCAAATTTTTTGCTTTTTCATACTGTGGGTCTTTTGATTTTATTCTAATAATTAGTATTTTTGCAGTAAATTTGCTATTTTTTATTTAGGGATGACAGATAAATACCTTGAGGGGTACTATGTGAACAATTTTAAATTTGGTGTGGGTACATCTATCAGTCAGTCATATCATATACCCATAACCATCATGCTTTTCTCTTACCTTTGTGTTTTGTTTAGTTTTTGCTCTGGGGCACATGTACTCATCAGAAAGACAGGGAGAGAGAAAGTGAGAAAGAATGCTCTAGAGGGTATGACCACACCACAAACTCCTCTCCTCCATTTTTTTTCTCAGGAATTTAGGCATGAATACACTTATGCTTGGTGTGATTGTCAAGCTCCCAGGTCCAGCTATGTGGGACCCAATGCTTTACCCTCTACTCCACCCTCTGGGAACCATCATTGCTTTCCTAAAAAGTTATTTTATACATTCAATAATTGTACATCATTACGGCTTGTAAAATAAATTTACCCAACATGAACACACTTCCTACCAGTTCATTTGAAGATATCATACACATTATTGACAGACAATCCTCCATTCCTGTGTCCTTCAGATGTCTTGACTCTCATTGCTTTTTAAACTTAAAAGCATCTTCTGAATCATTAGTAGTAATACATTTTCTTTTATAACATTCACAATCTTACTTAACATTTGCTTATCTTATTACAAAGACATGTGTGTTGTGATTGAATATATTTTTTAACTTATCAGTAACTTTCATCCTTTCTGTGCAACATATTTCTTTTGTGTTCACCTAAAGTGTATATATTTTTCATAAACATATCTTAATCTATTTGTTTATATGGTACACATTTTTTTCATTCAACATTTCTGTTTTTATTATAGCATGCTAGGTTATTTAGACTATTCTTCTTACTATAAATAACTAAAAGCAACTTCTTTTTAAATTATCTTAATTTATTTTATAAATTCAATCACTGTATAATTTTAACATTAGATACTATTGATAGTTTTTCTTCCACTGTTTCTTTTAAAATATGTAATTCAGAGCCAGCAAGTGGCACAATGATTATGTCACTGGACTTGCACATGGCCAACCAAGGTTGAGCCCAAGACCTGGTAGCTTGAAACTCATACTGGGCATGTGTATGTGTGTGCCCAAAATCTCAAGCAGAGAATGGAGGTAAAGGGATTGTGGCATGGCCATTTCCCTGAAGACTGATTTCTCACTTTCCCTCTCACTGTCTCTGTCTCTCTTCCTCTCTGAAGAGTACACATGCCCTATCACTAAAAAAATCTCTATTAAATATGTGTGTGTGTGTATATATATATTTCTTCTTCTGGGACTTTCAGAGGAACCCAAATTACAACCCTTCATATATATATGTATACACACACATACATACATTATCTAGATAGTACATGGAATTTGGTGGGATTTCATATATGTTTATATGTATATATATATTTATTATTACAAAACATGTGTGTTGTGATTGAATATATTTTTTAAATTATCAGTAACTTTCATCTATTGTGAAATGGACTTTCATCCATTCCATCCATATTAACTTTTATATATATATGTATATATATATATATTTCCTTATCTTATATCCAGATCTTTTCAATTTAACCTGAATTTAGAGGCCTATATTAATGTGATTAAATTATCATCTTAAAGTTTTTCTTTATAATTTGCTTTATATTCTCATTCCATTTTATTGAATATAGTTTTTTAATGTATCCCGTTTACTTGGTTACATATTGCCTATAGTGCTTTTTAAAAAAATGTTTCTATAAATACATAGCACAAAGTGGTCATATCATAATGTGTCCCCAAGTTTACATGTCTGTGGGAGGCTTGCCAATTGAACTCTTGCTGTTATGTCTCCAGCTTTGAGGGTTGCATTTATAAAAGACTAGGACAGCACATGATTTAAGAACCATCAGTGTCTTCAAATTTCAGAATCAGCAGGTCCCCTCACTTCTCAACATTCCCTTACACTATCTATCTCATTATTCTCCCTGTAGCTTTATTCTATAAGGCATCCACTTCCCCAGATATCCTTGTAGCTCTTTCCTTCTCTTCCTTAAGGTCTCTGTTCAAATGTCATTTTATCAGCCAGTTAATAGTCTCCCTGTCCATACTCTCATTTCTACATAAGTTTGTTGTCTTCAAAGTACGTGTTAATATGTGAAATGTCACATGATTATTTCTTTATCTTCATACTATCCATCAATAATTATTAAGTATTTTAGTTTCTTAGCAGTTTATATTCATTATCCAGACAGTACATGGAATGTGGTGGGATTTCAATTTATATTACTCAAATGCATGTGAGAATTTGGTGAAAGGTTGAGAATGGAATAGAAATTCTCAATCAGACATAGCTTAGGAGAGTGGGTATGCTAAAGGGAAGAGGAACCATATACAAAATAAAGAGAATAGATCAGCCCTGTTGGTTAGCATTTGGAGAAGCTGAATCTCTCATGGTTGATGGAGGTTTAAGTCCCAGCCTTGGCTGCTTGCAAACAAAACAAACAACAACAACAACAAAAAAAACCACTCTGGGAATGTGTAAATGTATGCCCAAAATCACGATAAAATAGAGAGATGGAGGATAAGGGATTGTGGCATGATCATGATCCATTGGGGAGTGATTTTTCTCCCTGTTTCTCTGTCTTTCTAGCAAGTACAAGCACCCTCTTGCAATGGAAAAACATATAGATTAATTTCTTTACTGACGCACATAAACTGTAACATTTCATCATGTGAGTAATTATTGGGTCATTAGGAAACTCATTATGCATTTTTGCATAGAAAAGTACATCAGGATGTTCCTGACAACCTAATATTGTGAATTATATGAGTTAACTCTATAAGCCATTTTGAATTAAAAATTAGACATGTTAATTTCCTTTTCTTGGTAGTCACTTCTGTAACATGGAACCGGAGAATAATACAAGAATTCCAGAATTTCTTCTTCTGGGGCTTTCAGAGGAACCCAAATTACAACCCTTCATGTTTGGGATTTTCCTGTTCATGTATCTGAGCACCATGATTGGAAATCTGCTCATCATCCTGGCCACCATCTCAGACTCCCATCTGCACACTCCCATGTACTTCTTCCTCTCCAACTTGTCATTCATAGACATCTGTTTCACCTCCACCACCATCCCAAAGATGTTGGTGAATATCCAGACACAGAGCAAGGTCATCACCTATGCAGGCTGCATCACCCAGATGTTCTTTTTCATGCTCTTTGCAGCATTAGATGACTTTCTCCTGACTGTGATGGCCTATGACAGGTTTGTGGCCATCTGTCACCCTTTACATTACATGATCATCATGAACCCCTGGCTCTGTTTGTTGCTGATTTTGTTGTCCTGGATCATAAGTGTCCTGACTTCATTATTACATAGCTTAATGGCTTTGCGTCTGCCCTTCTGTATGCCATTGAAAATCCCCCATTTTTTCTGTGAACTCAATCAGGTTATCCATCTTTCCTCCTATGATACGTTTCTTAATGACATGGTGATCTATTTTGCATCTGTACTGTTGGCTGGGCTTCCCCTCGCTGGGATTCTTTATTCTTACTGCAAAATAGTTTCTTCCATTCATGCAATCTCATCAGCTCAGGGGAAATATAAAGCATTTTCCACCTGTGTTTCTCATCTCTTGGTTGTCTCTTTATTTTATTGTACAACTATAAGTGTGTACCTTAGTTCTGCTACTACCCACAGCTCACACTCAAGTGCAACAGCCTCAGTGATGTACAGTGTGGTCACACCCATGTTGAACCCCTTTATCTACAGTTTGAGGAATAAAGACATAAAGAGGGCACTGAAAAATCTCCTTTGGAGGGAAAGTATCAAAACATAAATTATTCTTAAGTGAAAAATTGCACTTGTTAACATGGCTCAGAGCACAAGAGGGAGGAATGTTGAAAGTATGAACAGATTTTGGAAGTAGAACTTGTTTCATTTGCTTATATCCTAGAACTTTCATGACAAAGCATCAGATTCCAAAGTTTAAAATTATTTGTTAAGAGTGTTGTGTAGTATATTTGACTGTTGGTAATATATTTGACTGGACTAATATACACTGTATTCATGCTGGGAAGATTTGTTTTGTATGCTTCAAAGATGTATAGGAATGAAATGAAAATAAAAGAAGAAAAGAAAATATTTCATCTTCTCTATGCAATTTAAGTATTTCACTTTTCCACTCTGTCTGATATCTAAAATGTCACAACTGCTAGGACATGGAAGCAACCTGAATGTCCAAGATCAGACAAGTAGATTGAAAAAATGTAGCACATGTACACTGTGGAATACTACTCAGCCATAAAAAAATGTTCATGACATTTTATAAAAAGTGGACTATTGTTAAAGATTTAATGCTAAGTGAAACATCCAGACTGAAAGACAAGTGTCGTATGTCCTGACTTAATATATACTTAATATGTTTCTGTGCTCTATAGCAGAAAGTGTAAGGTTAGAAGGTATGATATGAGGGCAACTATAAATACTAAAGACAGTATGGAAGGAGATGGATAATACAGGGTGGGAAGAAGGGGTTTATGGAAAACACAAACAAACAAAATATTTAACAAGACATAAAAATGGAGAGTTATCTGTTGATGATCATGTATATGATAATGTCTCTGACTTGACATGCACTGTATTCATGCTGGGAAAATCAAGTTGTACTGTGTAAAGATGTATAGTGATTAAATGTGTAAAATAAATAAAAAAAGAATTAGCTGGTATTAATTTGTTCTTAATGAAAGAAGAAAATGTTAAAAATTAGTGTAATGTAATCTTCCAATGTTTAAAAAGTCTACTGTCTACTGTTGAGTACAGTAGTGTCATAGGTTCTCATATTAACTCACCATTCACACATGGACTCATCTGAGCAACTTTCAGTCCCTCAAGCGATGATCTTGCCAACAAAATGATAGCCATCTGGAAGAGGTATCAATTAAGTAGCTAGATTTAACCAATTCAAATTTAACTATACATATCAAAACCATGCTATACAATAAATACATACAATTGTATACCATTTAAAAATAAATCTGGAAAAAAATAGTTCTTGTAAGGTGCTTATTTCAGCAGAAATTGTATAAAAATTCCTTTTTCTCACTTAATACTTTATACTAAATTTTATATTTATGTATTTTATATATGTATATATATCTATATAATGGTCACACCACAATCCTTTCTTTTCCATTCTCCTGCTGGGATCTTGAGAACACATGCACATGTGCCAGGTCTGTTTCCAAGTCACCACTTCAGGACTCAAACCATGGGTGACCTTGTGGGAGTCCAGCTACATAATCACTACATCATCTTATGGTCCCATCATTGTACATCTTAATAGAATACAATATGACTTTTCAAAAATACATCCATTGCATACTAATCAAGTCAAAGATATAAATAATTCTCACCAGATAGCTTTCCATTATTATGTGTGTTAATTTATTTCCCCTGAGCCCCTCTCTCCCACCCCTTGATAACTATCCTCTCCTGTACAGTCTCTGGTGTTGACACTTGCCATCTCTGTTGTTATACCTTCTGATTTTTCAGTTTCTGTCATAGAATTCAGATATTTCATATATATTCATTTTTTAATAAGTTAAGGGTTAATTTACACCTAAAACCTGTGCATGAATTCAAACCACAACACTTCCTTTGGGCTATGCCTCCCCATGTACTTGGTGACCGTCTTTGGAATCCTGTTCATTATCCTGGTCACCATCTTGAACTCTCACTTACAAAGGCCCATGTACTTCTTCCTCTCCAAATTGTCCTTTGTAGACATCAGTCTCACCTCCACCACCATCCCAAAGATGCTGATGACCATCTAGACACAGAGCAAAGTCGTCACCTATGCAGGCGTCATTGTTCAGATGTACTTTTTCATGCTTTTTCGGAGTGAGATATTTTTCTGCTGACTGTGATGGACTAGACCAGTTAGTGACCATCTGTCACCCCCTGAACTACAGTGATCATTAACTGCCAGCTCTGTGGACTGCTAGTTCTAGCATCCTAGGTGATTAGTGTCCTTACTTCTTTGTTGAATAGCTTAATGCCGTTGTAGTTGTCCTTCTGTACACACTTGGAAATTCATTACTTTTTGTGTGAATTTTCACAGGTGCCTGTTCTGACACCTCTCTTGATGACATGATTAATTTTGCATCTTTACTGGTGTGTGGAAGCATGGAAACTTTTCTGGGCTCCTTCATACTTACTCTAAGATAGTTTCCTCCACAGGTAGAATCTCATCAGGTCAGAAGTATAAACCATTTTCCGTCTTCACCTCTCAGCTCTCAGTTGTCTCCTTATTTTATTGTACAAGCCTAAGAGTGTACCTTAGTGCTGGTGCTACTCACAGCTCACTTTGAAGTGCAATAGCCTTGGTGATGTACACTGTACTCTCATCCATGCTGAACCCCTTCATCTATAGTCTGAAGAATAAGGACATAAAAAGAGCTCTGAAACAATTCTTAGGGAAGTGATAAAAGGGTCAAATTTAAAATGTAAATTAAATACTCTAAGCCTCAGAGTCAGAAATATTGATTCTTAGGTTGTAGAATTAGAACTTGTACCATCTTTAAAAAAAACCTCTTTTTAGTTTTTATTTATTACTTTTATTTATTTACATTTAATTACTGTACAGCTTTACAGCGTACAAAATGGCTGTTCCCAGTGTGAATATAGTGCATCTTAGTCAAGTCATAGATATAATAATGTACATTATCATCAACACATAACTTTTCAGTTTTGGTTCTGTTAAATATTTTCCATCTAAGTCCATCTTTATTTCCTGGGGTTTCAATTTCTTTAGAGTTCTCCACAGCTTTATAAAATGTATGTTATTTATTTTAGAAAGCTTTCTGTTCTCTGATTTCCAACCATTCCCCCTTTGTCATTTTCCTTTTTTCCATAGTTATTCCCAAACTCAAATTAGAAACAACTTAGAGATTTTCATTTGTCTCACATTTAAATCAAACATTCATGTTCTGATCATTGGGAAATTGAAAAGTTTTAAAAAATCTAAAACATTTTAAGCATCAATATGATGCCACATTGCATAATTCCACACCCAATTTCACATCATAGTTCATAGCATAAAAGGTGCAATACAAAAAAAAATTGTATAAAACTACCTTCAGTCCATATAAAGTATGTATAAGTTGTATATGAAATGACAAAAAATTCTGTGTTTAGACTTATTCAATCCACAAGATATCTCAGTGTATACATGGAAATATTTCAAAACAAGAAAAGATCTGAAATCCAAAATACTTCTAGTCCTAAGCATGTCAGGTAAAGGAAATTTAAACTGTATATATATATATATATATATATACACATTTTTAATTTGCTCTCAGTTCATCTGGTAATTTATATAAGTTGTGGAAGTGAGAAAGAATGCCCGTGACTAATGATGCAATAAACATGGATATTCAGCATTTTTATCACTGAGTACATTCCTATCCTTCAGGTACATATCCAGGAGTGGACTTGTTGGATCATATGGTAGTTCTATTTGAGGAATTTATATTATTCTTTACAGTAGCTACACTAATGTGGGGAACCAAAGAGGAGACGTGAGAAATTTGCAGGACATGACCACCAGAATAAGATCAGGGTCTTTATCCGGACATGGCCTTGGGTGGCTGGATTGTTATGAACAGAATGTCTTAGGACTATTTTGAACTGAATGTTTCAAAGTATTGTTATAGCAACCTGATAAATTCAGTAAGGACGTAAAACATTACATCACAGAAGTCTCTGGAATGTGTATAAATACTAGCAATAAAGTACATTCAGTGCTGACCAGTATAGACTGGCAGTCCCCCCAATTCTGTCCTTTCTTATCTTTCTTTCATCCTCACCCCCCAACTCAGGAACTGTTCTCTGTCAGCGGGTACACACTAATTTGCATTTCCACCAACAATAGAAAAATAAATAAACCTTGAAAGCCAAAAAAAAAAAAAAGTAATTTATATAAGTTGCATGTGCTCACCAGAGAGAAGCATAGAGAAATGAGGAAAGTGAGAAAGAATGCCCAGGGAGGTTGGTCTTACCACAGTCCCTTCTCTTTTGTTCTTCTTTTGGGATTTTGGGCATGCATTCACATGTGCCTGGGGTGTTTTGCAAGCCACCAGGTTGTGACTCAAATTATCCAGTCAGTCATGTGGGATCCAGCTTCCTTAAGCACCCCACTGCCTGGCCCTCATCCTGTATTTTGATGAGTTTTCTTCATCCTATGTAGTAAACTGCAATAGGCAACTCTACCAATTTTACAATTTTATTGATACAATTTTTTTGTCAATAAATATCTGGAACAATGGCATTTTACGTTTGCAGCCATTCTTCACATTTACATCACTACATTAACTGCTCCTCTTAAAAATGTAGGCTTTCACATATTGTGGATTTTATAGCCAATCATGGGTATTTACAGCCCCATTAGACTCTTCCTCTATCTCTTTGTAAGACTGACAAGAGCCTATCAATATACATGAATGCAAAAGACAACATCACTATATATGGCATAGAATTAAGTATACAATGAAAACACATCACAAATGATATTTTGCCAATATTTGAAAATTTAGATGAACAGGTCAAATTCTGAAAAATACAACCTAACACAACAGATGCAATAAGAATAGAAATCTGGGTACCAGCAGTTGGCATAATGGCGACAGTGTTGGACTCACATGTAGTCAACCATGGTTCAAGTCCTGTAACCAGTGGCTTAAAATCATGCCAGGTGTGCGTGCATGTATTCCCTGGGTCCCGAGAGGAAAATGGAGGAGAAGGGATTGCAGTGTAGTAGCCATCCTCCCTGGTGAGTGT